TCGCCGTTGTGTGACCAAAAGAGAAATCAAGTTTAGATGGTACTAAGTTGTTCCAGCGATAAGTATACAAAGTAATACTTGCTAGTGGTAGGTACCACACCCTCGAAAATGTCAATCCCTTTTATACATGCTTTTATTATTCGTATATGGCATTGGAATTGCAAGTGCTTGGGGGAATCCCTTTCAAACTCCAACAGGTATGTGGGTTGGGCTCTCACATACTTCCTGTGTGGCCGACCAATAAACGAGGAGAACAAAGTAAACATTATTAATGTGACGAAATCTTTTAGAAGTCCAAGGTGAACGGAAGCTACATTTTGTAAGACTTTGACGATAACAATAAACCTGCAATTTGCGATAGAAGCTGCGAAGGGTGTTCTGTGATTGATGAAAATAGTAACTTTAAGACTAATCTTACTAACCTGAAAATTAATACTATCCCAGAAGCTATGGCCAATTGCTGCAGTAGTGGTATTATTTGTTGTATCGCTTGTAGCAAATGTCGCATTCAATGTGTCGGTTGGCCCACAAGAAAATTTGTTGGAAGAATCAAAGAGTATCTGAAGGATAAAGATTAAAGATTTCGATGTTAATCGATCTCGACCGAGGGATACGCCTCCGACTTCCATTCAGAGACGTATGTAGTGGCGCAGCGGATGCATTATGTGGCCTATAAAATGGCTTGAAGTGACCAGCCAAGTCGCTGCTTTTCCTTCCCAGTTAGGTCTGGGACCAATTAACCATCCTGAATAGATAGATGGTTTGGATGGCCTAGGCGAATATCGATCTGGGATTCGAACACGTGACCATGCGTTTGAGATAGTGCGCCACTTGCACTACATCAGTCTCTTCAGAGGCGTGAGTTCGAATCCCACTCTTGTCAAAGAACATTCATACATTATAAATAAGGGTGGTTCGAGTATTTACTTGGATGAACATTTTGACAGGAATGCAATAACAAACTTGTTACTTGTTAATCAATTGGTAACCTCGAAAAAAAATGAAGACCAACAATTCTACATAATTCGGTGGCTCTGGATTAACGCCTTAATGACAGCTTTCCCTCCTGAAGATAACAACAGCATCAAAGTATATAGAAGTATATCAAACATAATAAAAACTCTCACTGAAAGGAAACCATCCATATCTCAATCTTTCTCAGGAGTGAATAAGGAATGGAATTAAGAAAGAAAGCGCGAAAAATAACAAAGTTAGGAAACCTTCGAAACTATCTCCTTTCTGCGATGGTTTAATAATACACGAGTTTTGAAAACAAACAAGAGGGAATTACACCAATTAACAGAAGAAATGTACGCAAGTTTATGAAGTTCCGTTATTCGACTTTATTTTTTACACACATTCCCCTATCATCAAATTTTTTATTGTTGTGCCTTTAGTGCAAATTTCAATTCGGTCACAAAATAAAATGGAGAAGTTATGATTCTAATTACTCACAAAGTGTTATAGATTTCGCCAACATAAACAGAACTGTTAATTTGAACGACATTATTAATGCAATTGAGGTCACTTTTACTATCCCTTATTTTCCATTTGCATGACATTTAACTACAATAAAATACTTGCAAACATGGTTAATAATATCTTAAACATAATTCTTTGCTCTATCTGTGTTTGTTATGACCAATGTTATACACCGTATGTGGATAGTTATGATGGGCATTGAGTGGTGGGTATTGGGCAATTCAGATTTGAAGGCATGGTTCACGATAAAAAGAGGTTACTGAGTTCTACCTTTAGAAATACTCAGCGCCACCCATGGGTGGTAGAAGGGACCCTTTCGCTCCCACAATCTCGGCGCTTAGGGCATAGTGGAAGCCCTGTTGCTGCCGTTATTGGCTTTAACGCCCTTGATCGATGTCACGTTAGACGAGTGTCGAGACAATTCAGATTGCAACTACTCGTTCTCTGACCCACACAATCAGCTGATCGCCGAGTGATGAGGCAATGTTTCTCTCCCATTCTTTTTTCCTCGCTTATTCTTTTTGCTGCAGCGATTCCTTATTCAATTTATACTCCTAGAAGCTGAAAAAGGTGAGCTACCTTTGCTGTTACTAGGATTTTTTGTTTACTTATGCTTATAAGTGAATGGATTTTTACTTACCATAGTCTGTTATTCGTACCTGGACTCACACGTACGCAGTGAGACACATTGTATGGCTCGTCCCTACGCCCCACTCCTCTGCATTTTTCTGGTCTCATTCTCGTCCAGCCCCCTTTTTAACGGTTTTTCGAAGCCTTTTTTCACTTTGGAAATACCGATTTACGCAGTTTCTTCACCATATCGCACTGTTTTCCACCTTACCTTCCATTTTTCATCATAATCTGGATTATCCAAAATCATCGTGAACTGTGCCTTTAATAAGTAGCAACAAGATCGAGCAAATTCAAGTTAGGAAGAGTGAGTTTAGGATCCAATTATATGTCAATAAGAGAACTGTTAGGCCGTTCGAAAATTAATAACCCTTTTCGAGCTTTTATAAAATAACTTTTGTTCTAATTAAACGAAGCTTAATCACTGATATAAACCCAGTTTTGTTTGGTTACCTTTCTTGCCATAATTTCATAACTCGTTCACTGCAGAGGTCCCTGTTTTTCGGATAACAAACTGGACCCCATGAGATTTGATGTCTTCATCTTTGGTGAACTTTTCCCCATTGAAGAATTCTTGCAGCGACCGAGATAAGTAGGATTCGGATGTTGAGGCAAAGGGAGCTCACGGCCATGGTGCTGTATAGCAGAAAAAGATCATGAGTACTATACATCTTCAAGGTAAGAGATGGATCATAATTTGAGTGAAATTCAAACCCATGTGCTGTTAATTCAAACCACAATGGATTATTCAAAAACTGAGCTTTCGTGAAACTGTAACTTATATGGAAATTCAAGTTGAACTTGTGTTATGCTTTCTATATACATCCAAGACGTCATGCTAGAAAATAAACTTATCAATTTTCTTGTGTTTACAGCTTTGATTGTTTTGAAGCCCAGAGATAGCTCGATGCTATCATGACCAAACAAGGAAGCTAGCGATAAATGAAAGAAGAACTCGCGGTTAGACGCTCTCGAGTCACAATATTACAATCTTTAGGAGGCACAACCACACGTTATGTCCAAAGTTCATCACCTTTGTTATCACTGTCTATCGAACAAACTCACTAGCTGATCGGAAGAAATTTCTCAAAATGCTATCATTCCAGACACACCGACGATTGTCTTCATCCAAATGTACATTGAAGGAATGTCCTCGTTCCGAGCACAAACTATGGTCAGTTCTTTTTTAATAAGCCTTGTTAATAAAATGAAAAATAGTTTTTCTATGTTTGATTACGGCATGCAAGGTCTACAATCAGACGCAAATATGTATGCTTAAACTCTTTGTATTCGCTAGTTCCACTTAGGAAGTTGATTGCTCGATGGAGTACATACATACATGGAATAATGGTTTGCAGATTGCACAATCGGATATGATGAAGAATTCTGACCACTCATTGAACCTCTTACAACGAGCTACAGTCATACTAGAATTATAAAGGGTGTGGTACATGGCATTATACTGAACTTGTAGGATAGCTTTGCTTCCACCGATCTCAACTCTTTTTTTTTTTTTTGGAAAAAAAGCTGTGCTCCACCAATTCGAAACACTGCCCGTTCGAAAACAAATGAATCATCGTTCTTGATTGCAGAATTTCTACAGGGGAAAGTCGCTTTGATGCTCTAATTTCAGTGATTAGAAACATAACCTACCTATTTTATGGGTTAATACATGATGCAGCAACAGTAATAAGGCACATAGATGAGCAATCTGCTCAGTCAGTCGCAACATGATTGGATCACCGTCACCTGCCGTCCCGTTGATCGTCAAGTTCCTTGAGCGGGCAGGCGCAAGTAACGTCTCACTCACATATTGCTCACACTGACCATTTTTATAATTAATAAGTTGTGTCAAGATTATTGTAAGACTCGCTCACGCAATTTCTCATAATGCTCAACCTTTGGTAAACTCGTACAGTTGTTCCTATTACATTTGCACCACTCTGAAAATGAGTTGATATAAGGAGAGCTTGTTTTTTAAACTTTATTCCTAACTTTTCTTCATCGATAACATACTACCCATCACACGCTTTTAGGACACAGTTCGCGATAACAATGGTTTCTGACTTCTCACACAGGATGAATTTGAGCCCCCGCGTATACCCTATCTGGCACTATTAGATCGGAAAACGGCCTAGTTAGGGAGTTCCCGTTTGTATCCTCGGATGAGTTTCACCGGCATTGTAGAGACCGTGCACCGATCACAAGGGAATCCGGAAGTTCAGACAACTTGTCATTATCCATAGCGACAATGAAGGACAGTTCTGTACAGTCCTGGCTTGATGTAGTCAGCTCTTTGCGCAGTTGCATTAACTGAAATCTCCTCCAAATACCCCTTCCACGTTATTTACGTCATATAAATCTCGTCCAACCTCTATTTTCCCTACTTTTGCAGAGCCATATTTTTCTCGGAATCGGCGAATCGTCTCGCTTTCTTCACTATCGATGAACTATTTCCAAACTGTACCTCCGCTACCTCGAATTATCGTGAACTGTGCCTTTAATGGTTCCATTTGCATACCTCTAACCAAGCGCTTTTCCATCTCCAAAAAGACTTTCAAAAATGCAGTATGAATAAAAAACAAAGGGAAGAATGCTTGAAAAACCATCTATCTAACTGTATGCATCGTATGCTTGGACCCCATCACAACACTGCAAAGCATAACACTTCTACTGCACTGCTCATGTTATGCTAGGTCTCGGTTGAGTACCTCCTACGAAGCACCAATACCAATTCGAACAACCTTACACATTTTGGTATTTAGGACTTGAAAAGTGTCTTTTTACCTCTTGAGGAAAGCTTCATACTCCCTCGATTCAGTTTAGTTCTATAATCAGCTTAGGAGCTTCAGGAAAGCGCACAGTGGTTTTCGCCATCAGTCTCATATCCCCTATTCGAACCATCAGGTGTCTTTGAAAATCAAACCAGCATTCGACTTCCATTCAAGATCGTAGTGACCTTCTGACGGACGAATCACTTCCAGTTAAAAAAAAAAACATGAAATTATAGATGTTTTTCGTTTTTCCTTTTATTGAAAACGTATGCGACCCATACAGTGAACAGCGGTGTCGGCCGGGATACCAATTAGTGCTTTTATCCTCTCAACGCTGATACCAATAAATTCGAGAGGGAACTAATACTGGTGATTTAGACGGAGCCTAAGCTTCAAAGGAGAGTCTCCATGGTGTGAGTGATTCGCTGCGTTGATCATGTCTATCATTACATTATAGGCTCGAACATTATATTAATATCTTGTTTCTCTAGCTTACCACAAGGGATTTGTTGGAAAGAAAAAAGTTATCTAGACTAGGCGATACGGAGTGAAGGTGTAAAATCCCTCTAGAAGAGGGAAAAGAAAAGTATGGCTGAGTGAACGGAATAGGAAGAGTAAAGCAAAGAGGATCTTTTCAGAATTCTCAGCGTAATAAAATTCATCGATAATGTATCTGACATTATTTAATTGATGTTTCTTGATGAGGGAATGATTTTAAAAAAATATTGATAGCATGCCATTTCTCAAGCTGGTGTCATCTAACGATTTGCCCTAACAGCGTAGCCAGAGTAGCTGAAACTTTAGAGTCTTTCAGGATTTTCAAGTGGACATTTACTTCCAAGAGAAATGGTTAGACCTACGACTGACTCACAATGGCACAAAACGAATCCTACTGAAGGTAAAAATTCATCCGTAGCTGGATTACAATCAGGCTTTTAATTGACGACAACATCGCTATTGTTTTCCCTACATTGACTGAGAATCACACAAATCTGTATGCAATACCGCTGACTCCTTCACTTTACCTACTGTTTTTTTTATCAAATCTCATTGTTTGCTTATTTGCTCGGTTTGTGTTCTATACACTATGCGTCTTCGTGGAATTCCTCCCGCTTCGAGAGAGTGGCAGAGCTAAGTAGTATGTTCTAACAACTTATTATGGCAACAACCACTCCTTTTCGGATGCATTCTCTACATTTTTCGCGGAATAAATCACCGCAAAACTCACAAGTTTATGATCTTCAGGACCCAGTCTTGTTCAAACTGATCTGGCATCCCGACATCTATTTCGCTAATGCTCGTACAGCCGCCTTTCACGATGTCACGCAGCCCAATTTCCTTGTGTGGATCTATCCCAACGGTACAGTCTGGTATGACTGTCGGTGAGGAAAACTGAGAATCTCTTCTATTTTTTTTGAAATTGCATAGAGTAATATTAAACAGTAACTGCAATTATAACATATTTTACTCAACGTCGATAATGACAACGCTCTTCTTGGTTAGTCACTGCATACTTACTTCAGTAGCCGCTATGAGCCCTAGTCTCTAGCGCCCTTTTATTTGTCGCAAGTGATGTGCTCTTGGAGGGAAGCTTGACTTCCGTAGACAGGTTTCGCGTTTGAATGAGTAAAGTTCAGTTACCAGGGAGTATATGGCGATGACAAAAAATCTATATCTTGAATAAACACGCAAGCAGTTCACGTGAAAAGTGACATAAACTAAATCATCCATCCTCTTTTCGATGCTCGTATCCGCATAGGACGAGAAAAGAGGAGTTTTTTTATAGTCAATCTCAGGATACGTCTGAGCTGATAGTTCAGGTTTCAGTACGGGAACACAAGAAGTCAAACCTTAGTTCATGAAATCCCCACTTTCTTCGGAGCAAATAACTTCATCATTTTTTCTCCGATTCTGATCTGGGTTCACCGTTATGCCGCTTTTCCGGTAGAGAATGGGGAACATTAATATTCGAAGGAAAGACCGTGGCCTAGGTTTGAAGATTTGGAGTGCTGTCAACGGTCAGATTCTTTACGGTCGGGTTCTGACCGTGAAATAAAATAAAATGAAATAAATAAATGAAATAAATGCAACAGGCGTAGATTTCTTACATATGAACTAATTCGTTTTACGTCAGCCTGCGGCTGGCGGACTATGAAAGCAGCTAGTTTGTGGGTTCGAAAGGACGAGGCTCCTACGAGAGCAGGAACGTTCACCAAATTTATTGTTACTGTAAAAAAAAAACCGACGGAGTAACTACTAAATATAATAAGTCAATAAAACTCGCAACTCTTCTTTTTCTCCCTAGCGTTAATCCCACGCCGTCGCAGGGTCCGCTGAATGAGATTCGCACTTTCCCTGTTCTACTTTTGAAGCAGCATTTCTAAGTTTTAACTTTTTGATAAAAACAATTAAGCAAACTGCCTCACAGGTGGTGTATACTTGGCTTAATCTGTAGCCAGAAGAAAATCTACGCAGTCAGAACAAAGTATTCGAGTTGCTTCTTATTTTCAGAATCTCACTAACAGTGCTTTGTATGCAGAACTTGGCACGTTATCCCTTGGACTCACAAAGCTGTGCTCTCCGTATTCTTAGTTGTAAGTTGCTATAGCGCTGTTGCCAAATTTTAGCGAACGAGAAGAGATATTTTCGAACCCGAACTCCAAAACTTCCTGAGGGGATTCAAACGTTTTTAAGGACATCTCAATCCATTCACAGTCACCCATACCGGGACCTCGGCCATACATACATACATATTATCTTTAAATCCATTTTTGTCTCACCTCAATGTTGATGTGGCAGATGGTCATATGGAAGAGCATATCACAGCATTATTAACCCGGAAGTCCTGCAGCCAGAAATAGGGCAGCCAAGAAGCGAACAACTTTTGGGGTAGATTGAGAAGAGCAGCTAGTCGTTATAGGTATTATAAGCTACACGTTTAGATATAGAAGAAAACTTTATTTCCAGATGCTTATGACACTGATCAAATCGTTATCCGATGGAACGGAGAACATCCGGTCGAAGTGAATTCTGAAATCCGTATGCCTGATATGCGACTACGAGCTATAGAACACATGATACGAAACGACACTTACGCAACAGGTCTCAGTAGATTCAGTGGTGATGTCGTCAACGTAACCATAATCCTGAGTGGTCGCTTTGTGCATTTTATACAAAGCATCCACCAGCGGCTAATGAGCGTATGTAAACTACCCTTAGAAGGCATTCAGAAGCGAATCCAGATTTGCTCTTCTTGAATAAATATGTCGCTTTCACAGATACGGTATAGCCAGAATCCATTCCTTTGGTTATTTCGTACTCTTTAATTTTTTACTTCACTGTATTTTCTGGACAGCGTACTGTTTCTTCGTTTCAGGAGTTTGGTCTTGCGCATTGGCGGAATTTCATGTTGATCGTGAAATTATGCACCATATTATCCAGGTAAGGAGCCGTGACAGGTAATGGCATTCCTCCACATTAAAACAAGTTAGGGAGATATAGAGGCACAATTGCAATTAATTCCTGCGCCTAGGATAATAATTGGCAGATTTACTATTATAGGAGTGAGGTGACAAGACCTTCGATGGATAAGACCCTCCTTTGATATTGCTTGCACAAGGAGCTGCGAATGGGTTAAAGGTTAACTCAACTTATACAACGATGCGAAGTCAGTCTCATGGGTGAAAACCGATAAATCCATCCAATACCTTTCTTAATCACAGTCTCGATGCCACAACACACTGTATCTCCCTGTCTATCTAATTGAAAGCTCTATGATTAGTACGTAGTAGGTTACTACATAGTACTCGGTCAACTACGAATATACCGACATTGATTGTCATCGACAGGTGAGCTGAGTCCCCAATTTTAGTCCAGCTTATCATATTATGTACCTTTTATATCCCGAATCCCATGCAGCGCAGCAGCAGACACATATAAACTGTCAACAATATTTAGCTCACATTTCAATGAATACTCGTTCTATTAATAAACTTCTTTAAGTCGTACCTTCCTACGGGTTTGATCGTCGTGATTTCATGGTTTTCGTTCTGGTTGGACGTGGAAGCTGTTCCAGGGAGGGTGAGATTAGTTTATTCGCTTGGTTTCACCGATAAGAACTCAGGAGAAACCTTTGTATTCCATGTCTGTATTTAGCAGTTACCTTTAGATTTTTCTGGCTGTGTATAGCATAACTTTCTCTTGTAGTCGTTTAAGATACTTCCAAGAGAATTTAGAGGCGGAGTTTTTAGGCCTGTAAAATCTTGGGGCGTAAATCAATCCCGTCAGTTGCGCTCACACATTCGATTTCCATTCAGAATCGTAGTGGTGTATTGAATGCTTATGTGACCTATACAACGACGTGCGGTGGCCAGCCGCTGTAAATACATGCCAGTGCTTTCATCCTCCCAGACGAGCAATTGCAAGAAAAGTTCCTATAACGGTACTATGTGCACCGAAGAGCCCTAATAAAGAAGCCTACCTTTCTGACGACGACCGAATATCTATTAACGAATCTAGCTCACCCGGACAGTTGTAGATATTGAAAGGGATGCCTTATTCTAAGCTGCTCCAGTTTAACGCAGTGTTTTGAGGTCTCACTTTCTATAACAACCTTGCTGACGTTGGCAACACAGAGCAGTGCAGCACGTATGGCATTGCCACAGGTAAATTTGGTTCGATCTAAAAGTAAAAGCGGAAGTAATGTTGTGAACCACTTCTTCTGCTCTAAGGCGGCAGAAGTAGTGTTCCGAGGGAAACATTCTATCATTCCTTCGTGTTCTCAAGCTTGAAACTCGTTGAAATTTTCTGGAAACACTTTCTACTAGCAGAGCAAAGCTATTAGTTAGCGATACTTTTCAGGCGTCTTATGTGAAGGCTATCGATGTATGGATGGGTGCTTGCATGGCCTTTGTGTTTTCTGCGATGATAGAATTCACGGTGAGTCTCCTGCCAAACATGACCAAAAACTTGCAGTTCTTTTACTGCCATCTTGGCGTATTTACCAATCACTTGCTGAGTATGCTCAGGGATGGCTAGCGAAGAATCATCAAGAAACTAAACGCCTTGTGCAAAATGATCTATTGCCGACAAGTGAAGTAGCCTATCGGCTGGTCAAAGCTCGGTATCGGTCCACTAAAGGCGTGGGGGGGGGGGGGGGGGGGGGGGGGGTTGGGGGTAGTGAAGACCGTCAAGATTAGACTGCATAATTCAAAGAAAATCATCAGCCGAGGTTTAGTGCAGGTCGGAAACAAATATATTTTGACTAGCTTCTTAATAACAAATTTCTATCAAGAAGAAAGGTGGCCAAGGAGGAGGGGTGACGCTAGTCTCTTTGACAGAGTATGAGGTAGGTGGAACAAGAGATGAACTTTGGGTAAGCATCTGATCCAGGTGGACAAAGACAGGAGAGCAAATGAGAATGAGCAGAGGAAGGAGCACAGAGAGTATAAGATGGGGTGGCTTATTTCTTCTTGGTACCGCACCTGCGAAGGAAAGAATGCGAGATATGTAGAGTATGTAGCACTGCTGGGCGAAGGTATCTATCTCACATGCACGGTCAGGGGTTCGATTCCCGGACCGACATCAGCCTTGGCCAACCAAGCCTTCCATCCCACCGGGGTCGGTTAATTGGTACCAGACTCGTCTTGGAGGATGAAAGCAGTGACTTGTACATCGGCCAGCCACCGCAAGTCATTGTATAGGCCGCACTCATTACGCCACTACGATTCTGAATGGAAGTCGAATGCGGGAGCGCATCCCTCATACGGGATTGATTAACGCCAAAAACTTTATCCTTTTTATCCTTATGTAGCACTGCTATGGTTACCATTCCCAAGCGGAACGAAGACGCGACGGATTTTTCCGATCATCGTGGGATCAGTAGATTGCGCAGATGAAGAAATCATGCTAGTTGCTACTCATGACAAAGACTGTGCTAGTTTCAATGTCAGAGCACTTTTATGTCTGAATTTTTTTATAAAGGGTGCCAAGTTCATAGCTTCGCAGGTAGTGAAAAGTACAAATATATGTGGTGAGAACATGATAGAGTACGTAGAGAGAAGAGACGTTTTACAACTCAGCTCCCTCGATCTGGAAGAGTTCGATAGCCTGTTGCGACCTGTGTTTCTTGCTCCGGGGGGTGTTTTGAAAATGAAACTTCGCAGGACACCTAATCCGCCTGCTCAAGGGAATGCACGATAGACCTGACACAGCTATGTATCTCAGGAATCAATAGAAATAGTAGAGGAGACGGTGGTAGCACAACAAGAATCAGTTCTAAACCGATTTCTTTTCCTACTTACTGTGCCTGTCTTCACATTGAATCTAGCGTATGAACTCCTGGAAATTTAAAGAATGCCAAATCCCTCGGCTTTGTGAATTACGCAGAGCCAATCCTGGGTTTCTTTGAGAAAGCATTCAAAGTGAACAAGATTTCCGATCTTCGGAAATGAGCTAGCAGCAGCTTACTGGCTTACAGAACAGTAGTGAGGCTTAGAATTTACGGCAACGAGTGCTGTTGTGTAAGCATAAAACATGAAAGTCCACTTCACCCTGCTAATGTTAGGAGGTTGAGGTGAGACATGGGTTGCACGTCACTGTAGCGAATTATTATAAAAACAAGTCGTGGTCATGCAAAAATCTCCTAGCGACTAAAGTTGTAGCGGCAGCGGAAGTATGGAGACTTTTAGAACCAGTCAGTCAATTATTTCAGACTAAATATTTTGTTGTTGTTTTGTTTTGCTATTTTGTAAATGAAGGAATTTTGTCACAATCTTTTACAATCTCAACAAGTGGTCACAAATATCAAATTCACACAGGAAAAGCCTGTGCAGGATCGGCTGCCCTTTTTGAATATCCAAGTCCAGTGACACGAGACATAGCAAGGACGAAATGGTAGCGCAAGCCAAGCTGTAAGAACATAATTGTTCACTCACAATCTGCACACCCTACGAAAACCAAACAGGCGGTAGTGAGCATTATATTCAGAGTCGCAAAGAGAGTTTCATCCGTTGAAACTCTCTTTGCGACTCTGAACATATTGCTTTTGAAGAGATGAACTGAAGAAGGAGTCTTTGACCGTAGCCCAGAGCATTGCCTTGCTGAGTGGATACTCGGGCTCAGGGTCAGCACGAAGGAAGTATTTCTCTACACCAACATCCCACGCAAGAACCCAACCCGACAAGGCGACTTTTTCTCTGCCTTTCATTTCCGAGCGATTGAGCAGACCGATACGAACAATCGTGCGTCGGTGTGGTCTTCAAGATGATTCAAGAGTTGACGAAATATCGCCAAATACCCTTCAAAGACTACCTGTTCGCAATCGACTCTATGACACCGTATGCGACACTCCTAGCTGTGTGGTATGCCCCCACGGCAGAGAGGGTGACTGCATGAAGATGGAAGTGGTCTACTCTGCATGCTGTCAAAGCAATGGATGTGACTACATAGGAGAAACAGGTCGCTCTTTGTACGTTCGGGTCAAGGAACATCTAAATGGGCTGGCTGGATCAAAAATGTATACCCTCTTAGGAGCTCATTGGGTTTTGTATCACGCAGGTTTATCATTTTACGTTTCCGTGTCCATATTGGCGCTTCAACCCGAGATCGCGGCGCGTAAGACACTGGAAGCGCTGCGGATCACGGCTAAAGACCCCAGAAGAACAGAAAAGATGAGTGTGTAGCCGTAACCCGTAAGCTCGCACCCTCCCTCACCTTTGTGATCTATGATCTACGGTGAGGTCAGAGCGCGGTATTTGTCATTTCTAAGTCAAGGTAGTGCGAGGTGGTCGTTCCGCCGTAGCGGGACTACAAGGTAAGCAGTGTTTGCCTCTTTGATAAGTGCCCTTGAGGGTTTGCTATTCTAGGTGGACCTTCTTGGGGTCTTGGGGTTCCTGTTAAGACGTGTGAGTGTGCAAATCGCATATGCTTTGGACCACGTTAGGCCCTGACGAAGGCGAAGCACGTCCGCATATGCTTTGGACCACTTTAGGCCCTGACGAAGGCGAATCCCGCCGAAAAATTGGTCAAAAAGTGACATAATCTTGGAAGGTTTGAGAGAAACACATTCTGACTCAGCAATAATAATATGCCAAGATTGCAAGAAAGTCGAACATGGACTATTCAAAAACAATATAGGCGAACTGATCATATCATTCTGTGGCATATGGCCCAACATAAGTCTTCAGCGAGTCGTCTATGAAAGAACCGTCCTTATTTTAAAAAAGGGATCCATATATTGGCTTGTCCAGGATGTATGACCACTTTATGAGTTTCAGGTTGTGAACTACTGCACTCGGCGGAAACCGAAGAAGGCTCACACCCCAACAAAAAGTCTCAGCGAACAAGTGCAAAGTTTGGTTACACAGTACAAGGAAAAGAAAACGGTGAGTCACTCAAATTACTCAGAGACTGATATCTCTCGAATATCAACTGATCACTAGTCTCACACCATCGACACCTCTCCTTATCAAATAGTAAATTAAGCGTTCTCGAATAATTTTCCGTACATTGGGCTATACTTCATTTTCGTTTCAATGACTTTTTTGAGTTCGTGTATTACACATAGTTGGAGTGAAATGAGAGATTGAAGAGATGCAGAACCATGGCAGGCGGTGTTAAAGTTTTCGTGCGGAATTTTAGTCAGCACTTGTACAAAGGAGAGCACACCTTTGAAGAAGTGGTGGTCAACATTTCCCCTAGCCGAATTTTGGTGTAATTGTGGCAGCACGAATAGTCACGAATGATACCGCTAACTGTAAGCGTGCCGGCCTGGCTTGTAGTCCTCAACAGACGAATAGCTCCTTTGAAGAAACGACGGTTGTTGTGTTCAGCTTGTGAGTCTCAGAGATTGAGGTACTTGACTGCCTATGAGGTCCTTCATAGTTTGATATGAGTCGCAATCAAGAGAGAGTAGAAATGGAAAGTCAACAGCCACCTATAACTTATCAAACCTACAGTTTCTGAGAAATTTCAAATGCGTTTTACTTTCCATTAGTCGGCATCAGTTTCAAGTATCCCTTGTTTTACCCAACAGCCTGCAAATTTTGTTGTCTGAAATGGGACCAAGTACTGGGGCTCAATAACAGCAGTTGAGAAAACATCAAATCAAAAAAAAGTTTTAATTAATAAAGCGGGGTTTCCGTAGTGTAAGGGATAAGAGCAGGATCGCATACTGAGGCGAAATAACAACACTTGTAAAAACATCCAGTCGAACCATGTATATCCTTGTCTATTTCCTCTAGGTTATGTTGAAAATTGGATTAAAAAGAGGAAGTGAAGGGGAAAGAGACATTGGATGAAGTATCATAAATAATTGAAGTATAAGGAATAACTCTTGAAAGCAGAATAGATACAATTGTTTCTCGCTCCTCTAACATGATGTAATCCTTGAGTGGAGACTGATTACATGGCCTTTTGCAACGACTAAGCTTCCACATCATGCTCTCGAAAACAGAAGCACAACTCCGGTTAGAGAGGTCAGCTCAAGTGGAATGGGCATGCAAAACAATTAATTCACGTCGTCTTATACGCGTTACTTCTGCGACACAAAGCAACATGACCTAGCGACACAACTTTCTGAATTAATGATCAAATGAATAATCTTTTTTCAAGTTTTCTCGGATTCCAGTACCAATATGACAACATGCCTTACGAAGTGAGTTTATGTGGAGAAAATGACAGCAACTCGCAAAACCTGCACAAGAAGCAAATACGCGAACTGAATCAACCCACTGTGTTAATGCGACGAAACTTTTTGCCGAGTATGAAGCGAAAGGCAATCGAAGAGCGGTAGGTTTTGCTTCCAGAAGAAATTTTTTATCGATAGTCACCGCGGAATATTACATGATAAAAGTTGAAGTTGAAATTATGAGAAACGAGTAGGGAACGATTGGGGAAAGCAATGAGAAAAAGATAATCATAGTGGTCCATGTACCCCTCGCAGGATATTACTCAAAATCCGCGCAATTCCTATAATCCATCGCTCACTTTTGGAAGGAGAAGAGTAGCTGTGAATTTTTTGTGATTGGTGTGAATTAAGTGAGTACATAAATTGCCTTTTTTTATTGAACAAGTATGCTTCAGAATAAGTCGAGTGGAAGAAAATCGTAAGTACGCACAGATGATCGATCGACGTAGCCGAGTTCTCTTTCCAATGGCATTCGTTTTGTTCAATTTAATCTACTGGCTTTACTACATTAACTTTACTGAAGATACGATAGGGTAAGTCACGATCAAAGCCGTGGATGTAATAACAGTTGAATTAAATGGCACTGACCTGAGCTAGAAAGGTGGAGGAGGAGCGGAGGCCGGAAGCTAGGATCAGGCGGCATTCAGAAGTTTGCCAAACCAATGATATTGTTTGCAGGAATTTTCGTTCTCAAAGTACATGAGGATGAGAAGTGGCTGAGCCCCGCTAGTCGACTACATCTTTTTTTCCAGGTCATCTGTTTTAACTTTGTAGAAAATTGGAAGGATCTGTTGCATTATTTCTGAATTTTATGTCCACAAACTTTCAGCATGCCATCTCACCATCTAGAATGTCACACAATTAATTTCTAATAGGACCTGATGTATGAGAAAATTCGCTCCAAGGATGATTCTACCCGATCGAGCACTTTAGTATGGAGAGGAAAAGATGTAGAACTCATGAGTTACTCTGTAAAATAATTAATCCTGTGACTAAAATGCAGCGAGAAAAGCGAATGGAATTTATCGAATGCTAACGTGCCTAATAGCGTTTGAAATCGGTTTTGAAAGCACAAAGCGGTCGGCGCAAGTCATAAAATTTTTGAGGATCCCGGACGTTTGAAGGATGAAGTGTCCGGTGTGGCAATCAATACAAATACGCACAAATGCATTGACCTTTATCTTCAAACTGAGATTTTCTTAACCAATTTCCTACCATCATTTTCTACCTTTCTAATTGAGTTCATTTACTAATATCTTTTGACGAGTGGGCTCCTGCACCGACCTATGTATTTTTCAATTTTGAGCTTGTAAATACCATTCAATGAAACTTAATGTTTGTGCCTTCTCTATTGTCCCAATAAAGATGTTATTGCCTTTTGAAGCACCACCCAATGTAACAATAAGTCAAGAGGGGAGAACATAACAAAAATAGCTCCTTTGTTTGGAGCATTTTTGATTTCGTAAAAAGACAGGCAATATCTTCCAACAGATTTCCGAAATAGGGAGCGCGAAAATGTTCGAAATTCGACAACCTAGGAACGTATCACAATTGTTAAACTGTATACACGGAATATTCTAAATCATCAAGAAACTTATGTTCCAAGCTCTGACGGGAAAACCAGCTTCGAAAAAGTTATGGTTTTTCGGGCAGCACTATAAAAAAATTTCAGAGAAGCCCATAAGTCATTTAAGGATTAATGACTGGCTGATTCCTGTCTAGGAAGGACAGGGAAAAAACTACTCTTGTCAATCCCACTTTGCATATAATCCACTTTTCTTGTTAAAAACTGCACCACTTTGTGGCATTAACCCTTCCAAACGTTATACAACATAACATGACCAAATTTTGTGGAGACTTCATTGTACGTGAGCGTGTTTTTAAATGAGTATCCCTACATATCGGAGGGCGGCATCTGCTAGTGAATTGCTCAGATTTTATTTGCCTACCTAACCAAGTTACACGGCTGCTATGCTGTTCGATCTCTTAGGACAAATAGTAATTAATGATGCAAATGTCACATTTGATTAGAACATTACTTTGTTTCCTCTTGCGGTACTTTGTTCTCCGTCGGCCCATCTACCTAGTGCTGGATTTTAGTGCGCAACTTCTGTGATCAATGCATGGCTTTGAGCGTAGTGGGAGAGAAACCGACTGGATGGCAAAAAACCTTATCCATTGACAAGTGGTCATGAGACGATACCAAACGGGCTGTCACCAGTGCGATGACAAATTTTCCAGTCCAGCTGTTCCTATCGCCTGTATCCTGTCCATATTAACCATTGGCCTTACCAGTAAATCGTATGCAGCCCTTGGGATATGTGCTTATGGAGAACTACAGGCTGATGTGAAACAGAACAGGGTTTTTGTCAAAGGGTGGCCCATTATCCTACTTTATATAATTCGCTGTTTGTCTGTCTGTCTCTCTGCCTGTCTGTCTGTCTGTGTGTCTGTCTGCCTGTCTGTCTGTCTGTCTGTCTGTCTGTCTGTATGGATGTATGGATGTATGGATGTATGGATGTATGAATGTATG